CATGGGCACAATCTGTTCCCGACGAAGGCCAAGCTCGCCCACAGCCCCTTGACCACACTCTCCCTTGTAGCCCTATTAAAGACTGATATTCTCTATATAGGGAGGTGTATGTGGGCTTTTTGACTCATACTCTAGCTTCCCAGTTGGTGGAGGCACTAAGTAGCCTTTGGGTATGACGAAAGGCTACAACTATGCATAGGAAGTCTCAGTTAATGGGATGCCGGGTTCCCTTTGAGTGTAGAAAAGCTGCTACTCGACTTGAATTGAGGCTTCCAATCTCCTAGCCTAGCCCAAGACCTGGGCAAGAAGGCTGGCTGCTCAAGCGTCTTTTCCAAGGAATTTACCCCAGGGGAATGGGAAGAACTTCATTTCAAGTGAGACTAGTAGAAAGGTGCACGCAAAGGGATTTTGAAGCAGGCTAATGAATGAATGTGAAGAGCACCCTGATAAAAGGATTATGATCGTTAATCGTTAGAGTTAGAATGCCTTATAAAGATGAAGATCTTAATCGATCTGCCTTTCTTTGTAAGTCAACAACTAACCCGAATCCCCGGAAGAAGAGAGTTTAGGATAGTTTTTTTATCACGAAAAGCCCAGCGCTCACGCTTCTTTAGAGTAATCAGAATTATAAAGGATATCTAAAATTTTATGGCATTACACTCTCTTCCTCTTTCTTTTTAGGGGTTACAGGGCTATGCTCTTTCAAAGAGGGAAAGTGGGGCGGGCGATTCTTATTCCTGTACAGTTTCGTGTTCACGTCCAGTCTTCTCTGTCCACTAGTGCAACTTCCAGCTCTATGCTATGTATGGTAGTCGTTTGACTCGGGAATCCCTTCGCCCAGCTAGCTCGTCCGTGCCTGGCTTAAGTATTTGGCCTGGTACGCAGTCCAGTCCTCTTCTCCGGATACCTCCATTGAATCATGGTTTGAAGGCCCAATTGTCCTAACATCTTGGAAAGCAAAGGATTAAAATCAAGAGCTGATAAGGTTTGGGATATTGTGGCCTTTGTTTGATCTCAATATGAAGTATCATAAAGGTGAGATCAAACCACCAAAAGCTCTGACTTCAAGTTTTAGTTTAGGTGGGACCCGGGTCTCTGGAGGCTTTACTGGTCAAGACTTCTTGGTCTTTACTCGTGGCCTAAACCAACCACGGGCAAGGAGAGGTGTGGTGGTACTGGGATTAATCCTGAACACCACTCCTTCCAACGCCATATATCAAAGTGAATAGAAGTCCTCAATCAACTTCCAGAGCAGAAGGATTAGATACTGACTCTTCACAAAAAAGAGCGAGGGTTACTGACAGTCGACCTACGGTAATAGGTTTGAAGATATGGCAACTGGATGTTTATAGCGTACCGAGCCTAATAGGCTTTCTGCTTCAATAGCTCTACTCTCTCTTCATCTGGAAGAAATGCCCGTGAGTCATGGACGAAGAGTTTTAATCCTCTCTAAAGGCCTTATAGGAAGGCTAGTGAGGCGGCCCTCATAGAATGGGATTCGGACGGAAAAGCCAAAATCCTATGTTACTAATCCGGGGCTTTGGTCAGAATGTCTGTAAAGCATGGCATTAAGTAAGAAATTCCTTCTCTAATCAATTACGTAGTACCTTTAAGTTGAGACTCTTCCCAACCAACCGTAAGAACTCATATGAGCAGTAGTCGGACGTTAATCAGTAAACGGTGTGATGTTAGCAGTTGAATGCGTATCAGCTGTGATCTTTTCTTCTGTGATTGAATCAGTAAGCGCTGCAGATGTGATTCAATATAAGACACTATGTGCAGGAAAGAAGCCAAGTCCAATAGCTTTTTAATTAAAAAAGGAGATGGGAACTTATTAGAGTGTAGCCAAGCCAAGACTCGAGTGGCCAAGTGGATGCAAAGACTATAAAGCCACGGAGTATCCCCCCGGTTCTAGAGTAGGTAGGCTAAGAAGAAGTTACGGAAGAAGAAGAGAAAGGGTAGCTGGTTCACGAAATGAAACTGACAATCTCAACTTCCTTACTGACGATATAATAAAGTAATACACCAGCTCCAGGCTTTAAAGAAGAAAGACCAGGCTTCAAGGGCTTTAGCTTTGAGGAAAGAAAGATCCCAAGCTTATGCTGAATTTAGAGTGGATGTGCCTTGGTCTTCTGTGAGTTCCAGAGATTTAGATCAAGGTAGTTCAGTTCTACGAGGCTAATTCCATTCAGTCTTGCTGTGAAATAAGCTCTTGCCAACCTCTGCGGAATATAGTCAGTGTACCGCGAGTAAAGTAAGGCGGTCAAGCGCACTCAGAAAGATTACTTTTTGAAACATTGAAGATTTAGGTACAATAGAGAAAAGAATTCGCTCAGGTTCACAGAAATAATAAAGAAAGAAGGCTATGGGAAAGATCCCAGACCTGGCTCGCTCCAGGCAGAAAAAATTACTCCTCCCCCAGACCCGGCATAAGAGAAGGGCTGATAGCTCCTATGTGTCAAAGGAGAGTTATTGTCGGGGATCCTCTTCTCCGAGATCTTAGGTCTACTGTTGATTGTTGATACGGCTTGGCTCCTGATGCCAGGTCCGGGTAGGGATATGTGAGATAAACTGCTTCTAGTGAGGGGCATCTATTCTACTCTGATGCGAGGGAGGAATGCGTATTACGCTTTGAAGAATCCATGCCCTTCATTGCAGGATGAATCAGAGAGTAGTAGTCTATGCAAGAAGAGAAAGACGTCCCAGATACAACCACCCATTTCACTCAAAGATAGTCTCGTTTGGCCTAAGGTGAAAGACGCGGATTGCACAGAGATTAACATGATATAACCTCCAATCCGGCCTCAACACAGGAATAGCCCTGATCTGCACAACGTTATATCCCAGATCGTTCAGAATGCACAAAATAGGCCTACGTCCTACCAAGCCCCTCGATCCACCTACCTAGTACCAGTTCCATCACAACCGCAGCCCCTTGTTATCACCATTCCAAGCGCATCATTTTTCGCACCAAAGGTTCCGAAAATCCTGACACTCAGACCCATCCCAAAACCGATGGTTATCACATATCCACCCTCGAAGGGACCCATCATTATCAGCCTCCTGGAACCTAACACGGGAAATCATGCTGTGCCTTAGAATTACGGCATCGAGGCTACTACCGATATGCCCCCTCGCCTTAGTCGACTTGTTCCTGAGATGAGAAGACTCGCTTGGAAACAGACTACGCACTTAGAATCCCTACCCCATTGTGATTGTGGTTGCTTGCCTTCATAACAGTAGGTTCGGTCAGCAGAGGGCTCTACGGAGAGTGTTGCAAATCAAAGATTACGATAAGAGAGACTATAAAAAGGCCTCCATATCTTGTGCTTTTTGCCCTAAATCAATTGGCTTTACGACTGTTTTTGAGTTTTTTGAGCATGACGAGCTAGTCAGTATCCCGTCCCTCCCTTCTCTTTAGCTTAGTTCTAGAACGTGGTTTTGAGGGGGCGGATTGAAAGAAGTAGTTCCTTCTCGGCTTCAGAAGGACCGAAGGTTGCACTACGTTCAGGGATTGGTCTTCCTGTTCTTTATCAGCCGCTAAAGGAGGAATCTGATCCAGTGGATGCTGGAAAGTGAGGTAAGCCGATCCGGTTAGAGCCGAGCTGGTAGAAAGCGGTTAGCGCCTGTCGTAAAGGGTATTAGGTTCTGAAAGAAATAGACTACGGCCCAGCAAACTCCGGAACTGACGTAACTACACTATATATAAATATAAAGTGAGAGCTCCTGCTTTACTAACCGTAGGCTACAGTGGAATCAGTAGATCGAGTTGAAGCAGATGTGGTGGACTCTGTTGCAGATGAAACTATATCTTTAGCCGAATGTTCCGGTGGTGAAGTTGAATCTGTGGAGTCTGGGCCAGAGACTGACCTTTCTAGTTCCGTGTCAGAAGGGCCTCCATTTGCGTAGTCTCGCGCAAGGCAGGCGAAACCAGATATGGTTGTAGATTCAAGAGCGAAGGAAGTGTAGCCTACGGTTAAGGGAAGCCGTCTGGGAATTTAGCATACGCCGTAGTGTGGCTACTAGTTCCAGCAGGTATTGGTGTCTAATCTCTCTTACTGGGATGGTTCGTCTGGGAATAAGCTAACCCCTACCACGGCTTCAGCGCCTTAACACAAGTAGTGTAGTCAGATAGTCCTGAGGTAGCCAACCGACCTTAACTTAACAATTACATTTCCTCAGTTGAGTTCTGAACCTCTTTCTCTTTTATATCCTTTCTTTTTGATTTTTCTGTTAGATTCTTAGTAGCTGCTGTTTATTCAAGGATTGCATTTTATGTGCTCGAATGAAACTTTGGTTGGACGGGCGGGTCGAGGGATCTCAAAGAGAGGGTGCAGTTAGTCAGTACGGCAAGTAGAAAGCAGCTCAAATACCGGCAGGTAGAAAGGAAATAAGCTAGGCGATTACCGGAAAGTAGGCCAGTTCCGATAGTGGTTACTTGATCAGAGAATCAACTCCTTGCTTCATTCTTTGTTCTAGTAATCTATTGTAGTTGTTATTAAACAACAGTATTCCCACCTCGTCTATCTATCATTTAAAGCCGAAGGAGAGGAGTGAGGAGTTTACCAAGAAAGTATGATCCTTATGGGAATCATAGCTATGCCCAGGTAGTTTCATATTAGCAAAAAAATGGGTATTCTGAATGAATAAACGCTAAACGATATTTTATTGATATTGATATATTAATAAATCTATTGAATAAACAGGAACTAGCTCAACTTGTAGGGAATAAACAAGCTACCTTAGGGAAGATGCCTTAGTACAAGCGCTAAGCGAGTGAGTGAACTGCTCCCTCTACTTACCTCTGGCGTATTTATCATCGAAAGTGTGTATGAAGACGAGGATAAAGACAGTCTGCGGCTGTATACTAAATCTCCACGGAGGAAGGATCATCTTGGGTTTCAAAGATCCAATCCAATTTACAGGTTTTACCACGACTGGCTCGAATCTCTTTATCTATGGCTAATCACCTCGTCTCCGGACTTATCATCTCCAGTATCTTCCGCATCCGAACTGGTTCACTAGACTTTAGGTGCTTTTTAGCTGTCTTCGAGGTTCGTTTCTCAGCAACTACCCCCCGGGATTCGTCTTCTCAGCTTTTGACTATCTCGAGTTTCTCATCTATGAACGTGCCGGTTCTGCTCTCCCCTTTTCTTTTGGGTTGCCCAACCCTCCATAACTCAAATATTATTATCTCTTTAATTACGCCCCGCACAACCATCTTAACTCGCTCGGCCTCCTCAAAGAAGAAGTCTTCTGTGTCAGCTTCTCGCTTCAGCTCGCAGGCCTACTGTGCTGCTCTTCAAGCAGATGCTTCTTTCTCTTCCAGCCCAAGCCCATCTTGACTCTTCCTCAAAAGAAAGGAAGGCTCAGAAGGACTCGCCCAAAGCAGAAATCTAATATACAAGATGGAATGGTTCATCAACATGCCTTGGGAGCATGAGAGCGCGACTGGGCAAACACTTAAATAAGATGTAGGGCTAACCTCCCCCAAAGGATAGGGTAAAAGTTTATTCCAATCTTTCGGATAAAACCTAACCGAAAATTTAGATTCTGGAAAGACCCTTCTTACTGGAAACCCATTATGACCTTTGTACCACCAGACACTTATGCCATTCAATCAAATGGAGAAGCAAATCTGTGAACTACCCCGCACTTCTTCTTCGTAAAAAGAACATGTTTCTCCTCGTAATAATCTTCGTAATCAGAATCTGGATACTGAATCTACGACATTCATGATCAGAGTCGACTGGACTGGAATGACATTGACGCAGAAACAGAATCAAGAGAGTAGGCAGAAGCTAGAACTGCTCGATCCGGCCGAGGTCAAGTAAATAGATCTCGTCCTCTTTAGGGGGAACAGGCTCTACATCCAATTCTTGAACTTACTCTCGTCTCTTTGCTCTTTGTTTTACGTTTATAGACAATTGGAAGAGATCTGAAAGAAAGATCTCCAGAACTTTCGGCGTAAGACAAAGTTTTCGGCGCAGGGAGCGGAGTTGGCAGGTAGCCCAAGCCTATGTTTTCTGAGATCGACGTACTGGCCGGCTAGCCAAGCTTCCCTTTCTTCTTCACTTAGATGCGGCTCGAGGGGTACTTTTCTGCCTCGACCGTTCTTCACGAAAGCCCGACAGGCTCCTCAAGGTCATAGCCCATGTCCTTCGCTTCTTTGCAATCAGACTGTACTTTATCTTTCTTATCTCACCATCGGTGACGATTCTTTCCAGCGTAGAATAAGACTTCCGGGCTACCCTGTGAAAGATGAGGAAAAAAACCTTCCATTGAGAGGACGAATGTCGCTCCACTCAATTAGGGTCCTCTGCCTGAGAAGGTTGCTGTAATGCAGGAAGTGGCATCTTTATTTACCGAGAGTTGAAGTAATTCCCCCAGCCCCAGTTTAGAGATTTCGTCAACGGGGTCATGCTCTTTGAGATAGCGTTGACCGTAAATCCCTTAGCTTTCGAGGGATTCAGAGAGGTCTACGAACCTATGCTTCGGCTTTCGCTGGCGGGCTTTCGTCATCCATCACTGTCTGGGCCGTCGTTTTAAAGACGCGCATCCGTACAGACAGTATGCCTAGACTCCTTTAAAAAAGGGCTTATTGTCGGCAAATACCCAGTTTATCCCTTCTCATCAACATATTTGAAGCATTGATGAAGGGTGGAAGGTACCACGCTGTGGATCCAAGCAGGAAGTTTAGGAGGTGTCACCGTCAATCACGTAAGAAGTGACCTCAGTCTTCAGATCCGCACACACAAGAGACGAATCTTGCCGATGGCTCTTTGCGAGTCGGCATTGTACCCCAGAATAGTAACCTTGGTCTGACTTAGCCGGATCGTAGTAAGGAATTCCTAGATCGGCTAGGGCCCGCAGTGGCATCACGTTGATGGAGGCCCCAGGGTCCTGCGGTAGCCTTCTTTCTTTTGCCGATGTCACCGGTGAGATAAAATAAAGGGGCCGCTTATGTATGCTTATTCCTGTCCAGCAAGATGTCTTCTGTCGATAAGGTTATATCTGCACTCTGGACTTTCTTCATTGGTGCTTCCATGTACTCATCTTCGATGCTTTGAACTTCCACCCTGTTGACATGTAGGGCATACTTTTCTTTGCTTCCTTCCTACTACTAAGCTGCTTTCTTTATAGGCTAAAGCCTCCTATCTACGGTAGCTGACGCAGCAAGACCCGAGGAATCGGATACGGATCTTTTTCAGTCTCTTTCGCTGGGGCAAAGCAAAGAGGGAGGACTTTCGGAAGAAGGCGTCATCCGCTGATGATCTTGAGGTTGGGAGGCAGGTCAGGGGGAGAACTAATGCTTGTGGATAGCCCGCGAATAATCCTTACTTAGTGTTGCACCCCAAAATTTGCCCTCCCATATTCTTCAAGATTTGTCAAGTCAAAGCTACAAAATTCTCCAAGGGTTGCACAGTGCAAAGGGCTCCTATACAGTCAAAACTAGGGTTTGTGTTATGATCAAGAAAATGAAGTTTTCAAAGGCCCAATCAAGTCCTACATGCCTACAAATATGGTCAAGCATCCTCATACCAAGTTTCAAGGCATTCAGCTCAAAATTGCACAGTCAAAACCCTAAATTGCACTACAGTCAATTGTAAGGGGCAAAATGGTCATTTGACAGTCAGAAGTTCAAATTTTTGGTCAACACATCATTTTGAATCCACAAACATCATTTGATCAATGCTTGATCATGATTCTCAAAATTTGGCTCAGAATTCATCAAGATGCAAAAGTTTCCTTATTTGGACAGCTGAAAAAGTCAACTGAAATTGACCAGGGCATAACTTTCACATGGATTATCAGAAAAATTCCATCCAAAGCTCATTTTGAAGAGAAAGACATTTCCTACAACTCATCTTCATACTTCAAGTCCAAGAAATGCTCTCACAAAAAGTTATCAATTTCAACATTATAGGTCATTTTCAAAAGTCAACAAAAAGGGACTTTAAGTCAAAGACCATAACTTGAGATTGGTAAATCAAAATGACATGGGACCAAAGGCATTGGTTAGAGGACTCAAAGACCTTTCCAAAATGTCCAAGAACATGAGAAAAACTTAAAATTTGAGCAAGTTATGCCTTGTGGAAGTTGGGAAATTTTTGGATATTTTGAAAAGTCAACATTACTTCAAATGACCTAAAATTGCTAATGGGCCCATTTTTCTTCCATGATTCATCATTCCAAGCATGTGCACGACCACTTGGCCCAAAGGGAAGTATTTTCTCATTTTTTATTTATTTATTTGAATTTTTATTTATATTAATTCATGTAAATCAAATTAAATATATGAAAAATGCTAACCTAAGTTTTCAAATCTTTTTGTACATATTTTAGCCTCAAGATTTCGTGCCTAAGTCAATAAGGAAAGATTTGGAGCAATTGGATATGATTTGTGCAAAAATAGCATGGAAAATATTTGGTTAAAAAGCTTGAAAATCAAATCTTCAAAAACCATTAATTCAAGAGATTTTGATCAATATTTTTGACCTAATGCATTCAGTACATAAGCATAATCACAACCCTAATCACAAATACCACGCAGCTGCTCAAAAGCTTGAAGAACAAACTTGAAATTTTGGCCAAAAAGCTCAAAACTGAAAAGGAGGTTCTAGGTTGATTAAAAGCACAAGACCAATTGCAAAAGCTTCCTTGTGTTCCCCTGAAGCTAATTGGATCACTCTCCAACCTTCATACGCCCAGAATTGGTACCATGGATTCAAATTGTGTCAAACAAAATGCATAATCGTGTTTCCACATTTAGACATTTTCATTACGTTTTTTTATGCATTCATACTGATTAACGTATTCTGAAGCTAACCATGTAGTCTAATTTCGTTTTCGTGCCATATTTGGAGATTTGCCATTGATAACTTTTAGGGTTTGCAGAACTGTAAATTAGGGGTTTTCAGGTGCTGTAAAATTGGACATCCTCAATACCATAATTGGATTTAGCACGTCTGGACGAAGAAGATAGGACCCTCGCGCCTAATTTATGTTCAAGGATAGCCTAATCGCTATTTTCCCAAAAGACCCATTCTGAAACGGTGATAAAACCGTGGCCTATGTTTTGTATTTTCAGAAAAAATGAACAAAGCGAAGAAGGTGATGCAGTGTCAGGGAGTAATTGGTTCTTTTAAATTTCGCGCGTTTTCAAACCACAAACTTTTCTTTCTTTTTATAATATTTGTTAACTATTATATGTCAAAAGCGTTTGAAGTGGCTCAGTGGCACAGGTGTTGATTGGTGATGCTAGTGACCTGGGTTTGAACCCCAGGTCTTGACCTTCTTCATATTATTTTGTGTTCAGTAATTCTGTGCAGGCTCAACATTGAAAACCATCATATTCCCTCATCATCAAGCCAGCCACGCGTCCCATGGAATCAGATCAAAGGCTCAGGATTGAGGAACACAGAAAACCCTAGTCAACGCATATGTACGTGTCATGCAAAAAGTCAGAAGGGCCATGCTTAACTGGGCCAAATTGCTAAGGCCAAACCTCCTAATTTGGGACTACCACCCCCTTGGTTTGCAATTTTCTCAATTTCTTCTTATTATTTTCTTTTAATTATTCTTTTAATCAATTTAATATTTTTCATAAATTATAAAATACAATAAAAATCAGAAAAAAGGAAAATACCATAAATAATTTTAATTTCTAATATTTTCATAAATAAATTGGCATGTAAATAAAATTAGTTTTAAACTAGGTTTGCAATTTTAATTCTTTTAACAAAAATCTAAAAAATGTAAAAATAGGTTTAATTAATGTTTTATTCCTTTTTAATTTTCGTGTTCACCATAATGTTATTTATTTTATTTATTTTTATAATTAATTGGCATATAAATAAAATTAGGTTTCATTTAGGTTAAAAAACTTCAATATTTTTCTTAATAACTTAAAATAATTAGAATTAGGTTTAGCATTTTATTTTAACTCTAATTAATTCTTTTTTTCATTAAACCCTAAAATACATAAAAATACCAAAAAAACAAAAACAATTTCTTTTCTTAATTAATTCATGTAATTTTAATATTTTGCAAAAGGGTCCAACGCCCTCGATTCGTTTAATTTCTTATTCGTTCGCATATTTATTTTATTTCGCTTAAAAAATTATGTACCTCTCCCGAAGCCTTGTAATTACTTCTCGCACTTTTACTTTCTTTATTTTTCTGTCAAATCGGGTCCTGGATAATTTTGGCGATGTGGACCCGCGCCATTTGTAATAGCTTTAGATTTACTTTTCCTCGCAAATATTTTTAACTGTTAAACAAAGCATGCAAGAATGAATGGCCTTAAAATAAAATCAAGCGTAGAACACCAATCATATGACAAGACAAATGCAAATGAAAACGACACACAAATCGCACACACCACCCCTAGGGTACGCCTCACTGTTGCCTTGCCTCGAAAGGTGATCGTCGAGTAGAGGATGTCTTAGTAAGTCCTCATGATCCGGGAACCTGGCATGAGGGTAGCTTCTAAGGTGTCTTCCCATTGCTCCGGTGATCACCATGTCCCGAACTTCGAATTGACCCGAACACCTCCAACGGTGGTGCTACCTACCTCTCAATGGTGGGATGGCACTACTTTAAAGGACATTTACACAGACGAATTCCTTAGGGTAGGTAGGTTCTCGTGGATACTTGCTCTAAATTTCAAAACAAATCAAAATACTTTTCACACCGACACCTTTTCAAAAAGCTTTCGAAAGCAATTTTTCAAACACTCTTGAGGACAGATACAAGAGTCGAACTGGAATTTTCAAGGAAACTTTTTAAAACCCACAGTTGAAAAGCAAACAAACCATTTTTGAAAACACAAATGAGCAAGTATCTAAGAGCCCATGGATAACCATGGATAGAAAGGGTGCTAACACCTTCCCTTTCTATAACCTACCTCCCGAACCGAGAGCAATCTCTTTAAGGAATTTTTCTGTGCTTTTGTCCTTTCCATTTGGAGAAAATAAAAGACGGTGGCGACTCTTGCTTCCGCGACATTTCGCGAACCAGCTTTAAACAGTCAGTTCCAGATCCACCGATCACAGAACTGGCGACTCTGCTGGGGACACTTTATAAAGTGAGGTGTACCTTAGGGCTAGTTCATAACTGTGTTTTCAATTGTCTTCTTTGCTTGCTTTACTATTGTGGGTTGTATCGGAGTTACATAGATCCTAACCCGGATCTGGGGATACCCTGTTTAGGTAGCATAAGCTGTGAGGGACTTGTCCGGCGTAGACCGACACAGGTGAAGCAGTGGCTACGTTGGTGTGGCACCTTGTTCTGTACCGATATCCCTTGTGTCGCAACGAGGAGAATATGGGTCTTCTAAGGAGTCATTAAGCACCAACAACCTTAGAACCTTAATTGACACAACTTGGCCTTTAGAACAGTAGCAGTATGCTACGCCCATTGAGGCTAAACTCTCGTGATGGTTCTGGCCGCAAGAAAAGATTGCGATGCTGGAGTTATGACCGATTGAGGGTAGTCAATGATATTGGGATCCTCTAAGAACCCGGTTACTTTTGATTAGGACAGGTATGAACCAACAAACTGAAAGAGGGTAGTACGTAGACCTCATGCTGGCCTAAACTTTAGGGGCTTGCCTTTGTGTTACTTGTGTGCCTTACCATGTTTGCCTTTGTATCTATATGTGGTGTGCTTTATCATAACATCATAGCATCATGAGCATTGCATGCATCCTGCATAAGGACTGACCATTTCAAAGACAAGAGGGTTTCATCTTTGCTCTGTTTTGTAGGACATTATGATGCCTGTGCGAAGGAATACTATCCGGTTCAACTTTGTTCGTTCACCTGAGTTGCTTGATGAGTTGGTTAGCAGAATTCCAAACACCACTTCCTTCATTC